TAGCTACACTATAGGAGATTTGGAACCAGAGTTCCTCAAAAAAGGATAAGCGTGTTTGACGTATTAATATTTTAGCCCCATAATTGTTTTTATAGCCTTATGGTAGAAATTTGATAAAGAAAATTTTTTATAACTTAGACAATGATTTATAGGCAAATGCTAAGATATTAGGATTTATGCCCTAACCAATTTCAAAATGACAAGTGACTTACTTGTTCAGTCCAGATTATAACTTAAATTTTTTATAGAAAAATATTTATTGGTACATTTTAGGCATACATAATGATAACACTCATCATAGCAAATTTGCACCAGTATACAATACATCCCTCCTGTGTGTTTCAAATAATATATTGCTAACCTGGCTCAAAATTCTTCTTTGGTGAATAAAGTATGGTCAGTGCATGACTGTTTATTTACTCAGTAAACACATGTTGTAAAGCATGAGTGCTTACTTAGCCATATAGTTTTGTGGGTGCTGAAGGTAACAGTGGCAAAAAAAAAAAGTCCCTTTCCTGATAGAGCATACATTCTAGTGAGGGAAAGAGAGAAAATATGTTAATAAACGGGTGGACAAGTAGGCACTGAGTGTACCGCAAGTACTATTTCAGTGCTTGGTGATATGGAGAAGAATAAGTCAGGGACAAGGGGAAAGGGAGTATGATGGTGCGCTTGCTGTTTTAAATGGGACGGTTAGGAGATGTGTCATTGGCTAGGGGACATCTCAGCAGAGTCAGGAAGGAAGGAATGGAAAGAACCGTGCAGATACATGGGAGGGTATGCAGAAAGGAGAGTGCACCAGCCAGTGCACCACAGCACTTCACTCTTAAGACAGAACCATGTCAGAAGGGGTGGAGCAAGGTCAGAAGGACAGAGTATGACATGTAGATCTATAGATCTCTAACAGGCAACTGTAGAAAACATTGGCTTTGACTTGGACTGAAGTCAGAAGCTCTTGTTGGATTGTGACTAGTGGAACTGTAAGATACAACTTATTTTATCATCTATTCCAGATACTTACTGCTGAGTAGCTTGACCATAGTAATTAATAAGTGGGGTATTAATTTGGTATATAAAAAGTTTTTAAGATGAAATGAGAGTGTTAAGTGGTATGACCAGAACATACACTCTTATTTTACTATATGTGCTGTGGAAGTGAGCAGAACATACTCTCCTGATGATTAAAGAGTTTCTTAGGATTTAAAGATCATAAATTGCTTGAGTTGCAGTATTCCCAGCTTTGAGTTATTCTTTTTGACAGTCAGTACAGTTAGGCTTATTTTGTAGCTCAGATCTTCTGCATTATAACTGCCATGTAACTTAAAATGTTAATATTGCGCAGTCATTTGGAGGCTTTGGTAATTTGCTTATGTTTCTTGCTTTATTAGTGGGAATGGGTTTCCTTGGTGTCTACTGTGATTTTAAACTTAGTTTTTGCCTTAGAATCTTTGAGGCTCACAATTCTAGTTCAGGTGAAGACAGATTCTCAGAACACCATATAATGTGTACTGTGACCACATTTATTCCTTTAAGCATCCTAACATAAGTAGTTCAAATAGTTTTTGGGATGAAGGTCTCTTTTTGAAAAGCAGAGTTCATGAGAAACTATTTTAAAAGTTCATGAGAAACTCATTAAAGATATCCCCCTCTCTCCTTCTCTCCCTCTTCCCCCTCCCTCCTCCCTCTCTTCATCCCCCTCTCTCTCCCTCTCTCCCTCTGCCCCTCCCCTTCTCCCTCTCTTCATCCCCCTCTCTCTCCCTCTCTCCCTCTGCCCCTCCCCTTCTCCCTCTCTTCATCCCCCTTTCTCCCCCCTCTGCCCCCCGCGCCCCTGAAATTAGGTCTGAAGTGCCACAGGATCAAAGAATATAGGCCAAGAGTTACCCAGTATTTTCTAGAACTTCTGGAAAGTTTCAATGAGTAGCTTTGGTTTCTCTAAATAGACTTACTTTTAAATTTTGTTTAAAAACAATGTAACTATAATACTACTTTTCCACCCTGGTCTGGAGCTGACCATAGGCATATTTTTAGGTATTCTAGGTCAGGACCTTTGTGTGCTTCTCGCTGCTCTGAAAGACATTGCCAAAAGGATGCTCTGGCCTTGCCTTGCCTTGCATCTTTCCTCTATTTTTTGGGGGGAGAAATACCATGGGCAGCCAGGCAGCTTTATTTAATTGCGTGTTCTTCTCCTACAGGGCTTGCCAGGTTCCCCTGTCTACCTATAAGGATGGTGTTTCTCCACTTAACAAAAAGAAAGAATAATGTCCCATTCCTCTTTTCTTTCTCCAGTAATTATGCGAAGTCCAACTTTATCAGAGCTATATGAAATGTTTGTTTTGAAAATTTTAGTGATAAATATCTACATAGGAGCTTTTAATTGTCTGATCAGTTACCCTTTGTTGAAGTAGCAGAGCTGTAACAATAGGTAATACTGTGGCTTCTCTGTTGATATTTCTAAATGTTCTGTGTATCTTACACTGCAGGCAGTGATTGGTGTAGAGCAGTAATGGTGAAGCTATGGCATGCGTGCCACAGTGGGCCATTTATTATCATTGAAAGCTCTACAAGGTTTGCCCTCACTGGTCTAGAGGATTTACATAAAGTAGGTAGAGTCCCTCCTAATCACAGATTCTGTATTGGTAAATTATGTACTCATTTATTTATGATCCTCAAATATTCATGATGCTTTCAGTCATTTGTAGACATGTACATGGCAAAAAATTTGAGCCATCCAGCGTGCCTATTTCCAGTTGAGGTTAAAACATCCTTTTCCTGGCATACAGTGAAATATTTCCCTCATTTTTATGCTTCTTGTTGGTGACTATGCTGTTTAAAATATTCCCCAAGCATAGTTGCTGCATTGCTGTCCAGTGTTTTTTTTTTTTTTTTCCAGCTTTAATTGAGTTTATTGGCACATTTTAGGGATACAGTACAGTTACATTCATTGTTGGGATCTTGTACCTCTACATGACAAGTCTTGATTCTCATTTTTTCCTAGAAGGTTGTGATGTTTTAGTACATTAGGGAGAAAATTATAGTACCATTGTAAGTTCCATGTTAATGAGTCAGTAATATATATTACATAAATTGTCTAATCAGAAACACGTAGAAAAGGTTATGCATTGATTGCTTGATAAAAATATGTGACCAGAGGCTTACAGGAACCATATTTTCTCCTAGGAGTAATGATTCAGTATCTACTGATGGTGATTACAGCAACTTTTTATTACACAATTACTATAGGAGAATAATTAGTTAATTAAGATTTTGTTTTATAGAGGTTTTAGGTATTGGCAATGCTTTATGATTTCCTTTTTCTGAAACTGTTGTTTCTGGAATGTTGAAATACTTGTATGTAGTGTTGTAATGCAAAATTTGATTTTACTGTAGGTTCTAATCTTTAAAAGGTCAAATGACACTGATTAACATGTAAAGAAATATATCTTGTGGTTTTTAAGAAATTTCTTTTGGTGACCTTAAATAAAGAAACCAAATATTATTCAGAATATTAATATATACCTGAAGCATATTGAATGCTCTGTAAATATTTGTTTCAGAGTAACAGTCTGAGCACTAGAATGATTCTGGTTTTAGAAAAGAAGGCAGTATCAGTGTTACAGGATCATATTCTTGTAGGATTTTGTCATCTGTAGTTATTGTAGACTGAGGTGCCAGAATGAAGACTCAGTTGGGTGATATTGTGTACATGTTGCTTGAAGCTAGTGAGACACTTTCTTAATTTCTTTGAGCCCCAGTTACCTTGTCTGTGATATAAGGAACATTTTCAATTTAAAAATTCTGTGATTTCCTTTCATCAGTATTATTCCTGACCTTGAGTTGTTTCCATGTTAATCATATCTAATTTCCAAGGAAAAAAATACAATTTAATGCAAAACATATTTGCCATTAGATTTTATTTTGTTGAATTCAAGTTCATTCTCATTAGTTATAAAAAATTACCCTGTTAGATGTATCTTAACTTTATGTACTTCTCTTGATAAAAAGAAATAAAAGAATATTCTTGAAATATACATGGATTTTGTTTTGGGATTAGAACTGTTGTTTATGTTTAATATACAAAAAGCATACAAAAAGTTTTCTTTAAAAAGATCAGAATTAGAGTTTTAAAAGCAGAAAATGTGTTTGACAAAACTTCATTATTAACCTTTTCCGTGTTGAAGTTTCAAGTTTTATTTTTTGTTTTTTGAGGTTTTTTATTTTAATTTTTCATTACTTCAGTAATGAAACATATCTCACCTCTTCCTTTTGCCAGCACCAGATTAATTTATTTTATAATCTTTATAAAGTTAATTATTATTCCTAGGTTAACAACCAGACTATGAAAGTTTCAAATTTTAGATAAAGGGTTCTTGTTTTTTTAAAAAATGTGGATAATGTGTTGGAATTATTTTAGGTAACATCAAACACGTATCTAGATATCAACAAAGGGTGCAGTTAAAATGAACACTGTAACGAGATGCTCATCAAATTTCAGAGCCTCTGTTAAAAAAAATGTAAAAATAAGGTCCAGGGATTTAGCTCAGTGGTTCCGCTGCCTGCCTTGCAAGCACAAGGTCCAGAATTCAATCCCCAGTACGGGGTTGGGGGGGATTAAAAATAAACATGCTTGTTGCATAAAATTTGAGAATTATGGTAAAGAATTCATTTAAAGCATATAATACTATTGCCTCAAATACATTTTATTTTGAAGCATTGTCATCTGGTTTTTAAGCAGTTTAAAAATTATAGTGCAAACAAAAAAAAATTACTGTGGTCATATAATTTCCCTTTTGCATAATATAATACAAACCAGTATGTTTTCATGACTTTTTTGGCAAATACCATGTTTAGGGATTATTTTATATATATTCTAGCTCAAGCATTCTTTTATCTTGAACATCTGAGTTTTGATTTTTATTTTCATTTCCTTTTTTTGGTTTTTATTTTGGCTTTTGAAACCTGCAGTAAGCATCCTCTATAATTTTTTTTTTCCTCTGTTTTAGGATTACTTCCTTAGGATAGATTGCCAGAAGTGGAATTACTGGGGCAGAGGGTATGAACTTAAGAACTTTTTTCTTATTTTTAAGTAAAAGTTTTTGTTTATTTGCTGTCCCATTGACTTATAGTCACTGTAGAAAAATCAGAGTGATTATACTTGCTGCCTTTCAGAACACTGTGTCTGAAGGTAAGATTCTGCAATCAGTATGGGAAATTTTCAGTGTAAAAAAACTTTGTTTGTCTGATTTGCTTCTTTATTTCCTGAACTTGACCGAGCACTGAATATATTTTCTTCAGTAGTTTTTGTAATACACTATAATATTTTTTGGAAGTGTTACACATGATATAGTTTATGATCAACTGATCCTAACATTTAAAATTGTTTCATTGGTCAAAGAACTAAATTAAACTATATAGTTTAGTGCTAAGAATTATTAAAAGGGTATTAAAATTAAGCTGTTTATTATATGATTTGGGGGGAAGTCAGAACTTTTACAATTTAAACTTTCTACATTGATTACTAACATGTTAATACCTTGAGAGCATCAAATACCATTTGCAGTCTCTAATGCTAATTAGAATATAGATACATAACCTGAAAGTACAAACCTTGTTTCTGCCTCTATTTTCTCTGCAGAATGTGAAAGCCTTTGCATCTTCCGATAGTCTGGCCAAGGTTCAGGAAGTGGCAAGCTGGCTTTTGGAAATGAATCAGGAACTGCTGTCTGTGGGCAGCAAAAGGCGACGGACAGGAGGCTCTCTGAGAGGTAACCCTTCCTCAAGCCAGGTGGATGAGGAGCAGATGAACCGGGTGGTGGAGGAGGAGCAGCAACAGCAGCAGCTAAGACAACAGGAGGAGGAGCACTCCGCAAGGAATGGTGAAGTTGTTGGAGCAGAACCTAGATCTGGAGACCAGAATGATTCCCAGCAAGGTCAAGTGGAAGAAAACAATAATCGGTTTATTGCAGTAGATGAGGACTCCTCAGGAAACCAAGAAGAGCAAGAGGAAGATGAAGAACACGCTGGTGAACAAGATGAGGAGGATGAAGAGGAGGAGGAAATGGACCAGGAAAGTGATGATTTTGACCAATCTGACGACAGTAGCAGAGAGGATGAACATATACATAGTAACAGTGTCACAAACTCCAGTAGTACTGTGGACCTGCCCATTCACCAACTCTCCTCCCCATTCTATACCAAGACGACAAAAGTGAGTATAGGCACTCTGCTGGTAACTCGAGACACTTCACATCTCTGTTTTAATTGCAGTGAAATTTTCCTCAGAGTCTTTGTATTATACTAGTTAATATTCATTTGTAAAGTAATAAAATGAACTAATTTTTGTTTTACAGAAGGTATTAGTATTACAAATTATATTCATATAATATTTTTAAAAATACTGGTCCTGGAACAGTCTTACTACAACTAGAGGAATTCTTTTTGTTTTTTGGTACCGGGATTGAACTTGGGTCCTTGTGCTTGCAAGGCAGGCCACCGAACTGCTGAGCTAAATCCCCAGCCAAGGAATTCTTGATAATTATAAGACATTTCTGTAGACCTTTTCCTAAGCTACAGGTTTTTTCATGTTTTATTGAACTTTGACTTTTTAAAAAAGTAGGCATGAGATACTTTTAAATGTCCCATTTGAAATTGTTATACAGAATTAGCCTTCCACAGTTTTACTGGCATAATTTCCAAATGTTATTTTTGGGCAGTTTGTTAAACCTTGTGGACAGCTAGACTTATTTATACATCATCCCTTAATGTTGTGTTTACATATGATATTAAAAAATTAGGTTCTTCCTTGCATTGGTTTATTATGTAAAAGCATATTGAAAACTGTAAAAACTCTGAGAACAAATTTTCCCTCTGATCACTAACGGTTTGTTTTTAAGGGAACCTATGGCAAACAATATATGTTAGAAATTCCAGACTGTCCAAATGTGAAGTCAGTGGTAGTGGTAGTGAAGAATTGGTGTTTATTGAGCACATACAGTGTACGAGGACCTGTGATGATAAGGAAACTGAGGTTACGGAGAGGTCACATGATTCACCCTAACCAAATCATACCGTAAATGACAAGAGGTTTTACCCTTAGGTGCCTGTGTAAAAACCTTTTTCTTTCCATGTGTTATGCTGCCCCCTGTGGTAGAGTTTGATACACATTGCTAAACATTTTCGAAGCTCCTAGATTTAAGGTTCCAGAATCTGGGGTATGATGGCACGCTAGTACTGTACTGTGTCACATTTGAGATAATCAGATCTACCCTTTAAAAAGTAATGAGTGCTAAGTTAACTACTTTTCTTTGTAGTACTTAACAAAGCCCCACTGAAGATATGAGGCTAAAGGAAGAAGTGACGATATAAAAAAGTGACAGAAGTCACTCTGGAGCCCATCAGATGTGCTTCCTAACCAGAGGTTGTTTGTTGGCTATGCCTCTGAATTTCACAAGTCTTCTTGCAAATGCTAGGATCATGTTGCCTTTGTAGATAAGAATGTCTCTTCAATTTTAACTCTTGTCAGCAGCCTTATTGTATTTCTACAAAATCTTGCTTTCTGAAGAGATAATCAACTCATATTGAAGAATCTTTGACAGATTATCAGCTTATTTTCCTTTTTAAAATTTTTAACTAAATAATTTTCTAGTGATATGAAAAGCAAATAAGATTATCATAAGGTCAGATCAGGTATCCTCTTAATCTTTTCATGTAAAGCGACCTGTTTGGGAACTAATCCTGATCTTCCATATTTATCCTGGTGCTTTCCTTCTGGGAATTTCATTCTTTGCCTAAAATTTACACCTCCCCCCCACATCCTAACTATTACATTCCTCCTGGTAACTAGACAGTTTTTATCCATTTACCTCAAATAAGAAAGGAATGGTTATTGAACCATGTATTCAAAGTATAGTGTGCCGGTATATTGGAGACTAGGAACCCGCAATCCTTCTTGTCTGCAGGTTCTAAACAAGAGTGGAACCAGGCACAAGAGTCACTAACCAATCTGAGGATCTAATTACAGTTTTGTGTTGGATCTGCCATCCTCCCACCGCCCTCTAGAACCAGAGCTCCTGGGAAACGTCCTAGGATAATGGGGGAACATCTGAAACCTGATGGAGCTCTAAGCCCTATGCTGTTGTAGAGCTCTAAAGAATGATGTCCTGAGTGTCCTTGACCTAGCATACCTGCACGATGAAGTACTATAATTCACATTCTGTTAGGCATAGATGAGTCCAATGAGCAAAAAGTGCTAATTAAAGCAGTTTTTCTGAATGACATCCACCAGTAAATATCCATGTCTTGCCTTTGTGAAGGAGGGAGAACTGGAGTCCTTGACTCAGTTGAGTTTAAGTGCTTGCAGAACTGTGGGGAGGATGATGGGGAATGTGGAGAGGGAGCGTTGTGGACGCGATGCACTGTCCCGTATTGTAGAGTGGTGGCTCTTCAGGTCTAACTTGAATTCTCTTTGCCACTTACTGTGTGACCGTAAATATATAATCTCATCAAATCTGTTTCGCTATCTATAAATGCCTATGTTTCAAGGTTTTTGTAAGGATTAAGTAAAATGAAATATGTACAAGTGTGTGCCTGGGAAACTCACGTAGTTAATATAGACATATGACCTCATTTTGTGCACTGGTCTCTTATCGCTTAAACCCTAATCCCACAAAATATGCTGTCCTACACAGCAGATAGCAGTCTGTATTTTTCATGACCTTTAGAGTTCATTTATCACCCTCTAGTGGAAAAAAATATAATTAGAAAAAGAAATCAATACTTTTTTTTTTCTTTTCCTTTTTTGGGGCAGATTTAGTTTTGAACCTGTGGCCTTCACACTGAGCTACCTTCCCAGCCAAAATGTTGAAGACAGACTGAAGCAGGAGAATTTCAAGTTTGAGCTTAGGGTAGGCAAGGTATTCTTTGTTTTGGAGACAAGGTCTCACTGTGAAGTTCAGGCTGCCTTGAACTCACGGCAATCCTCTTGACTCAGCCTCTTGAATGCTGGGATTACGGGCATGCACCACCATGCCCAGCTTAGCTTAGGCAATTTAGGAAAATACTTTTAAAAAGTATATACAGGTAAGGAACCTGCTATAATAAGTCGGCCTATCTTCAATATAAATAAGAATGTGACAAATTTTCAAGCAGATGCTACTCATAGATTTTCTCATTTGATATGTATGTGTACCATTTTCTTGCATTAGAATTTAATTTAGTTTCTTTAAACTTTTACAGATCTTTAAAGCTTTTATATATTTAAGTGATTTGGCTGCCAAACTGAATTTTAGCTTATAGTAAATTTCTGATTAATTGTTAATAGTACAGTTTTTAAAATACTTAATATCATTTTAAACCGTAATAGCTCTGAGGGTCATTTTAAAAGTGCCTGATACACTGCAAGTAATTAAAGATTATTTTAATTATGATTTTTTATTATAAAGAATATTCTTCCTACAGAATGGAGAATTTTAAGACTTGATGTATTTTATATAAATGATAAAATTCTCTGCAGTATCCCTGAAGTATTTCAGATAGTTTCATAATTATAATGGCCTGATCTTTTTCAGTGTTATTTTTGTTGCTGGTAGGGAAGACAGAATGAAGGAAGACGATAAAGGGGTATATCATGATGGGTTTCATTTTTTAATTTGGTAAATAACTTCAGTGATATGTCTCAGGCTCACATCTTTTGCTTCAGCCTTTGTTGTACAATTCTGGCTGTCTGTTGGACATCACCGGAGTGGTCCACTGAAACTAAACTTTCTTTCCCTAAGGCAGCCTTTAAATTCCAGATTTTTCTTATCTTTGTTAATATCCTAGTCTTTGGTCTCTTAGTGGAATAATGGTTTGAGTTTTTCTTATTATCTTGAATACTTAATCTCCCTCTCAAGCACTTGCAAGATCTGAGGGTCAGTGCTTTGAAATGTTAGCTACTTAGTCAGAGGCTACAGTGTCATGTTCTTGACAGTGAGCTAACAATGAGTGACTGGATTATTTTGAAATGAATTTTTAGCTTTGTATAGATCAGTAATTTCAAGGCAGGCCACTGAACCGCTGAGTTAAATCCCTAGCCTAGATCAATAATTTCAGAACAAATACCTGGTGCCCCATTTCCAAAGCCAAACCTGTATGGACTTTTGAAGACTTCCAAAACCTTACCATAGTTTCTCTACCCAGTTTTCTCTTTATTTGCTTTGGATGACACCCCACCCCCACCCTACCAGCAAGCCAGATCCTTTAAAACCCAGCCAAAATCCCATCTCTACATTGACACTTGAGTATCACCCAGAACCCATAGTTTCCATTAGGTTTCTCTGGTTTAGAATATGAATCGATCATTGTTATATTCTACAGAATAGTTTTCACTGTCCTAAAAAAATCCTTGGAGTTCTGCCTTTCATTCCTCTCTCCCCCAACACCTAGCAACCACTGGTCATTTTACATTTAATTGTTTCCATAATACTCCTTTTACTGGAATGCCATGTAGTTGCAATCATATATAGCCTTTTCACACTGGCTGGCTTCTTTCACTTAGTATTATGCATTTAAGTTTCATGGCTTAAAGCACATTTCCTTTTAGTACTGAGTAATATTCCATTGCCTGAATGTACTATACCTTATCCACTCATCTACTGAATGACATCTTGATTGCTTCCATATCTTGGCAGTTATGAGCAAAGCCAATGTGAAATCCTGTATAGGGTTTTGTATAAATGTAAGTTTTTAAATTTTTTGGATAAATGAGGAGTGCAACTGTTGTATCATCTGGTAACAATATCTTTACTGTTGAAAGAAACTGCCCAACTGTTTTCCAGTGACTGTGTGATTTTTACATTTCCACCAGTAGTGACCTAGAGTTGCTCCACATCCTAACTAGGGCTTGGTGTTGTCATTGTTCCAGATTTTGACTGTTTTACTGTGTACGTGATGTCTCATAGTTTTTATTTGTGAGTCTCTAATGGCATGTAATGCTGAACATTGTTTTGTGTGCTTACTTGCCATGTAACAGTGAGATGACTGTTCAAATCTTTTGCCCATTTTCATATCAGGTTGCTTTCTTACTGTTGAGCTTTAACAGTTCTTTATATATTTTGGATGAGTTTGTTTTTTTTATTAGGTGTGTCCTTTGAAAATATTTTCTCCCAGCTTTAGCTCATCTTCTTATTCTATTGATAATATTTTTCCAGAGATGTACATTTTTAATTTTAA